GTCCTTGTTTGGACCTGGGCAATCGTTTGTGATAATCTCCCAAAATATATCAGAAGTCATGGTGCAGAGGTGAGCTTCAAGGCCATAACTGATGACCATTGCACACTACATGTGAAATTTCAATTGTTCAGTTTCAGGGATTGGGTATGAAAACAAAACTTACATGTCCACATGCGACAATGAGCACCTTTCCTCTGCGGACACAATTTAGTTTTCCTGGTGGAGTGTCTTCCAATAGATAATCCCAATTCTCATTAACTGCCCTGTCCCTCCAAGTTTTAGAGGGACAAGACCCATAGTGTTTCCTTTGAGCTGAGACCCAAGTGGGGAGAGGGAGTGCTGCCTTTGTTAGTATAGAGCTATAACTATGTTTTTTGGATCCAATGGAAAACACCACGACAGATGCCAGCAGCATGCGATGATGATGACGACACACGATGAGGACAACAACACATGAGAACAACAACACACGACGACAACGACGACATGCAAAGAGGACAACACACGAATGACAACGACGACATGCGAGGAGGACAACACATGACAACACGACGACAATGACGACATGCGAGGAGGATGACACATGATAACAACAACACGTGAGCATGACAAATGAGCACCCAGCCCCACCACACCCGAAAAACAACAAGTGCCCACCACTGCCAATGCCAACGCGGAACAGATATGAGGGCCCAGCAGCACCACCCCTCCCCTCCACACTCTCCCCCTATCACTACCCCTCTCTTCACCACTCCCTCTGCCCTCCACTCTCTCCCCCCTTTCCCCCTGCAGTCCAGTCCAGTTTTGTGAATATTGCCAGTAATGTAGTGAAGTCCAGTGGAGTCCATGTGGATTATGTGGGGGATGGTAAAGTATTGTCCATAGGAACCTGACAATTATCCTTTTTATTTCATGATAAGTGTAATATATATCCAGCTTGTTGTACAAATTTTTGTGCAATTTCATGCATGAGGTTGAAATCAGTTGGGAGACGTGTAGGGGGATAGAGGCAGGATTGGATAGACAGAAATGATGCTGTGCGCTTCTGGTCTGATGTCATATTCATCCCACAGAACGTCTCGTGTCCCATCACTCTCACTTCTTCATACTATAACTAACCCTAAATAGTGTATTGCCACCCACACTGTTTCCTTCATCTCCATGCACTCCCCCTTCATTCCCTTCCATTCCCTTTGCTATCTACACTCTTTTACAGTCTCTGTCTCCACTATTCCACCATTATCTTGTAATTGGTATGTTTCAAATCCTATCCATTGCACTTCCATTGTTATCACTATCGTCTGTTATCTAGACTTGCTGATAACAATGACAATGACCTTTCCTCCCTCCAAAAGGGGTGTGAGAGGTTCCACTTGTTCTTGAAGGAGGTTTGGGGACCTGGTGAGTGAATCCCTCCACAACAAGCTTTTGCAGGACCGACAGTACTAGTAGCTGTAGTGCCGGCGCCATGTCAGTGTACCCCAACCGGACATTAGAGCGACTTGCTGAAATTGAACCCACATCAGCAAACTGCACTCCACACTGTCCCACACTCCAGGCCCTCAATTTGGTCTGGCAGCACACAAACATGTAGTCTCAAATTCAGATTCATTGCGGTAAAGGTACACCACAGAGCATCAGGTTTTGGATATAGTCTACACAAATATACATGGTGCGGGTGATGCTGATGTGAATGTGAATGTGGAGGGTGAGGCCTGTGAGGCCTTGAGGGTGCGGGTGCGGTTTATTATTGTGATGATGATTCTAGGAGTGGGTATCCATGCCGCTCCAGATGAATATGTCAACAGTGTGAGTGCTGATGTGAGTGTCCAGTGGTAGTGTGCATAAAGGTGGTAGGGGCCAAACACAATTTCATTGGTGCATCATTGAAGAACCTGGAGGGGTATGAGCCCGATAGGGTGTCTGTTCTCTGACTTCCCGCTCCCTGTTCCACTGCTGTCGATGGATGGATTAGCATAAAACGATGATACACATTGCACGGGGATGACCGTGAAAGTGCGAAACATGCAAACAAGGATCAAGCACGTCGGGAAAACCCTAAACACCTAAACACACACACACATACACACACACACACACACACACACACACTATCACAATCTCAGGGCACAAGTTCGAGGGCCTTTGGTATTGAGAAATACCACTTTTGTCTTCTTAGGTTAAGTCTCAAGAGATTTCGTTCAAAATGGGTTTTTATTATAAAGTGTGGTTTAGAATAGTTCAATAGAACAAAGTATGTCTTTTCTGGGAACTTGGTCTCTTGAATGCAAAGTTCTTTGATCACAGTTTCTTTTATTAACACAAAACATGACTTCAATTGACTTTTATGACTCCCGTGAGTTTTTATTATGTCACTATGCTCCAAAACTCAGGGTATGAGTACGCTGTCTCGTCTAAATGATACTGTGTTCTTAAAACCTCTTATTCAAAAGTCTCCAAGTAAGTTGACTCCCAAGCATGCTGGCTTCATTCACACTGTACTTTTCTGACCACGAAGAAATCTCCTTTAATTGATTACAACTGTCCACCTCCTAAGTTCCTACTTGGAGTGCAACTAGCTGGTCAATGCAGTACTTTACAGTGCCCCACCTATTCCTGCAGGAATGGGATCATTCCAGTGGAATTCCAGGGGAATCCTGCAGGAATAGAGGAATTCCAGAGGAATCCAGAGGAATTCCAGTGGAATCCACAGCATTCCACTGGAATTCCACTGGAATAGGACTGGAATCAAGCAGAGTAAGTTTTTTTCAACTCCAAGCTTATCCTGATGACTTGGCACTCATATTTCCTTACACCTATTCCTGCAGGAATGGGATCATTCCAGTGGAATTCCAGGGGAATCCTGCAGGAATAGAGGAATTCCAGTGGAATCCACAGCATTCCACTGGAATTCCACTGGAATAGGACTGGAATCAAGCAGAGTAAGTTTTTTTCAACTCCAAGCTTATCCTGATGACTTGGCACTCATATTTCCTTACACCTATTCCTGCAGGAATGGGATCATTCCAGTGGAATTCCAGGGGAATCCTGCAGGAATAGAGGAATTCCAGTGGAATCCACAGCATCCACT